TCTCTCCACTCTCCCTCCGTCTTTACGGTGTGTTTCAGAGTGGATTTTAACATTACAATGAACACCAAGAGAAGAAAATAAGCCAGGACATATATTCTTTCTATACTTCTAATGACATGAATAATGCCAATTCCACAGGAAAATAGTGGGGAGTTGGAATCATTTTAATTTCATTGCTCACCAGCCTGGCAGTGGGAATTTTCCTGGGCATTGGAACATCGACAACGGGCAGCTCAGCATGTTTGGGGTACGCCTTAGCCAAGCAGTTGCTGGGTGGACTGCCTTTTGGTATGATTGCTGTGATCTTCACCCTCTCACAACCCTTCACAGAGCAGAAGGCAAACGTCTCTCTGTGATTGTGGGCTTTCACCTTCAGGAAGAGGAGGCTGCAAGACACACAACAGATGACGGGCATCATATGCTTTCCCTCACACTTAGCAACCACAAACAAATCACACTGTTAAAGGTGTTCCTGACATGTGACATTGCAATGCACAGAGGTTATACAGTACATGTCATCTAACCCTGAGCAGTCATGTGATCAGTATATATCCAGGGTCCAGCTTTATGTGTGCTTAGTCACAAAAACGTAGCTCACAGCTTTGCATCTTTAATCGTAGGAATGCCACATTTCACTTTGGGCTGATGTAGCTTTATTTTACTGTAGGAGTGATCTTTTCTGTGTCTAAGCCAAATCCCTGTATATTTTTCCTAGTTGTCCTACTTCTGGTAACGAGTGTAATGTAGTGGTCTGTGCATGGGTCGGACCCAGTGTCTTCTTCCCAGTAGTAATATCCTCTGGCCAAGTGCGAGTGGTTGATCTTGTCCTTCTGAGTCGTCCTCATGAAGACGCCAGTCTTGCGGGTTTGTTTGGTCAGCCGATTGTGGATGTCTGACAGGATTGTGAAGTTGGTACCTTGTGGATAGCAGAGGCCCACGTTGATCCAGTCGTTCCTGAAACACAAGGAAAACACCAATCCAATCCAATATGATCGGATTTAATTTCAAAAGCAAAAACACGGGGACATTACTATCAGGTGTTTTTGTGTAAATGAAACTGAACCTTATGATTTACACAACAACACATGCACAGACTTAAAGTCAACATGATATAAGCTGATGTTAAACGAGCTACTGTGGCTGATTTCTAGCCTGCAGACGAGGCAGGTTCAAAGGTGGGACTAATGAGTATTACCTTTAATATCAGCTTAAATTCTAATTGACCTTGATGTAACCTAAAACTGTGACCACCACAGCTTACCAACCTGCCCAACAAAACGCATTACCATAAACAGAATGCTGTTTAGACTGCATGAACTGCCAAGTATATTCATGCAACCTTCAAATAATGCAAAGTTCAACTTGCTGTCAAACATATTTCATTATATTAAAAACATTCACATCTTATACTGATGATTTAAAAACTCTAAAATGATTTAAATGCAGTCCTTATATTGACTGTTTTATGTCACTGAGCAGTCCTGACATGTCAAAAACAGTCTCTGACCTTCCTCTTAATTTAAAATTGGTTTAACACTGAAAAGAAAAGCAGTGACGTGAACAAGTGGCTTCAAATGAACTAAATGCAAAGTAACAAGCCTGCTTTGAAAATGTAAGGAGTAGAACGTAGATGTATCCTGTTAAAATG